AAAAAAAAAAAAAAAAAAAGAACCAGAATTTTGAAAAGGACTTAAGGTAGAAGGATTGGAAGGAGTACAAGAAGTGAACAGTGGAAGAGGCAGTGAGATGAGTGGAGGAACTATATCACAAAAGTGCCTCCCTCTTGCCTACACAAATAGCTGCTGGTAAGTGGCAGCTAAATAGGAAATGGGAAAGGAAAGTGACTTCTTCAGTAGCAATTTTTGAGGAAACTAACAACATTGTGTTGAATAATAAACAAAAAATAAAACAAAATTATTTAAATACAAAATCTCAACCTGCAGGTCATGGTTGATTTGAAGTGTTTGAATTGCTCTAAAACATAATCTAGTAATTTTTAGAATATTTTTACAATCCTGATAATATCAGTTATTGTTTTAGCGCATAATTGTAGAGGAGAAATTCTTAGTTCAGTAGTTTCCTGAAATTGGCTATAATTTTCTTTTGTCTTTCAGATATTTGAGATATTTGGTCCTGTTTCACGTCCCTTCTATGTGTTAAGGTTTAACAGCCCTGAGCATATTAAGAAGAAGGGCATTAATCTGAAAGACGCTGTGTATTTTGCTCCATCAGTGGAGGATTTCACCCAGTATATATTTGCAGAGAAACTACAACAGTGAGTCATTAACCTGTTTTTACGTGATTTTAAGGCTGCTTAACAAAGTGTATATTGAACTGCCCCATTATAGGCACAAAAACTGAACTTTTATAGGAAAAATTAAATGCATCTTGCAAAAATGAAAGTGTAAAAGTAGACCGTGTTATAATAAAATTGTTCACTGTCAAAGTGAAGGAGGAAAATAACCGAAGTAATATGTTTGTTTTAACATTAAGCATTTGAATGATTGCTAAATTTCAAATCAGGGTAGATAACAATGATTTAAAAAAAACAGGTTTTTCATTTCAAGCAGTTTTTTATTTAATCTTTTTAAAAAAATGTTAAGATGCTTTTAAAAAATAAACACATTAAGAGTTTTAATTAACGATAAGTTAAAGTTCAAAGATATCATCATGGAATAGGCATTAGAACTTCTGACTATATACTAATTTTCAACAATATAGTCATGCAACCTTTTAGAAGTTTTATAAATACAGAAACATTGAAATGTTCAACATTAAAGTATTTGATATCAAAATCATTCAGAATTTGACCAGTATAACACATTTATACCTATAGGGCTGGGGTATTGTTTTTGTTTTTCCATGCATCAATCCAAAGCTTAGACATGATGATAAATTAATTTTAAAGATTGATAGTGAGATGTAAAAGAGTATTCCAAATGGTTAATGATTAATTGGATGTTGCATTGCTCTTTCTCACAAATGAAGGAGCAGGGTGATATGCAGAAACCTATTTTGTTTTTCATGTGTTCTTACTTAGCCAGTAGACCCTATTAAAGAACTATGAGGGGACCAACAGGGGGTGGGGTGGGATGGGAAGGGGGAGATCATTTTGATCTTCTGGTAACACACATGCTAATATTCCAAAGCCCTTTTGAATTGGTATCTGAAGAAATTGTAGTTAAACTAAGAGAATGTACTTTTCTGAGATTTTAAATCTTGGTCTCAGCTCCTTAGTGCTAAGACTGTTTGTTTTCCATTTGGACTAGAGTGGTTCTGTAGATATAATGAGGCAGCAGCCATCTGTGCCATCAGCCCTTTTCCCCCAGTTGTTCCGTCTGCCAATCTGTCAACATACAAATGTGCATCTTTGAGTACTTAAATTGCCAGTTGCTTCTATTTTTGAGCATAGTGAGTGAAAGTACTTTTCAGGTGTCTCCCTTCTAGAGATTCAGAGCAGGTGTTGACCCCTCTGGATTTTTGCCTTATTTCCAAATCTTTCAGTAGTGCTTCATCATTTGTTCTTGAGGTTCCATCACAGTCTTCTGTACTCGACTAACCAATTGCCCATCAAGAATGATGGGGGGGGAGGGGGACGGGTGGGGATGGAGCACCCACCACCCCATGCCGCTGCCACCCAGGAGCCGGGGGGGGGCTTGCCCCACCGTGCCGTCTGTCTCCCTCTGCCAGCACCCTGCACCACCACCACTCCAGCGCTGCTTGCCTCGTCCCCTGCCCCTTCCTGCAGCCCTGCTCCTCGGAGGCAGCAGAGTGCTGCCATGACAGCAGGGATTTGGGGGGCGGGGGGGGCAAGGCCTGCGCTGCTGGCCTGATTTACCACCCCCAGGTCCATCACTGCTATCATGGCAGTGCTCTGCACTCTGGTTGTTTCACTAATCGATCGGAGTGCTTCAAGAATGTTATGGACAGACGGACAAAGCCCTTTGTTATATAAAGATTACAGGTGATCTTTGATACATACCACATTTCTGTTGCAGTATATCTAGTTACTTCTATAATGGTCCAGTGATAGAGGCATGCTAGCTAAGTGTAGATATTCTTGGTGCCAAAAGTGGTTTGTTTTGGTGGTGTTTTGTTTTTCGGGTTTTTTTTAAATATATATGCTTTAGTTGCCGCCTTTGCTCTTTGGGTGTCTGGTTCAACGCTTTTCTTCCATTTTATGTCTATTATTCATCAAAGGAAGAAGTAAATGTTTGGCTGGTAGATACTTGTTGTTTTTCACCCTGAAGTCAGCTATGAGGATATTTTGATGTAAATCAAATTGTCACTCAAGATCAAACAGTGTGCCTGAATAGCTGCATTGCATTTGTTGGCACAAATTAGCTTTTTCCTTGGTAGGCTTACCATTAGTGCCTGTGTCATTACTATTCTAACTGATAGCACTTTGGGGCAGTCTTTGATACTGAACTGTGACTTGTTGGATGAAGTGGCTCCTCCATGCAGGAAATCAGGGTAGAGAAACTGATGAAATAAGCTCACTGTTTAAAGCTTATACTATGCATCTTTGACTTGGTTTTAAGGCAGGGTAGATTTGCACCTTACAAACCATCTGTCTCAGCCAAGGTTTTATCTAACCTGCTCTTGAAAATTGCCTTCAGACTAACCTGGCTAGGTACCTCCCTCTGTGATGCTTTTCCAGGGGTTGTCTCCTTGCCAATGGCGAGGAGGCAGTCCTCTGTGGATGGATGTGAGGTGGGAGAGGCTCGCACATGTCCGCCACCGTTGCCACCCCCCACCCCAAGCTGCCGTCTCCCAGGAGCAGGAGCAGGGGGGTGAGGGCAGTGACACCCCTCTGCGGGCCACACAGGAGCTGCCCAGCTGGCCAGACACAGTGGGCGGGGCGGCTTGCACGTGGTGGCGGCTACCGCCACCACCACCACATGCTGCTTTCCACAGCCAGTCACTTGTGCAACTCTGTGGGCTGCTGATGGGTGGTGTGCGATTTGGCCAGGTGCAAGGCCTGTCAGCAGCCTGTGGAGCCACATGTGTGACTGGCCATGGAAAAGCAGTTCGGGGCAGTAGGTGGCAGTGCTGGCCTGCGAGCCCCCCCCACCTTAGCCCCGCCCTCCGCCCCCCTTGTGTCCGGCCACTGCCACCAGAAGGGGTATGTAGTTAAAGGTTGAAAACCCCTGCTTTCGTCCATTTGAAATCATCTGTATTGAGCAGGGGTCTGGAATGGATGACTTTCCAGTCCTACTTTCCTAACATTTTCTCGGAAAATTCCTCAGTACACTTAGAATGACTTCTGTGCCTAAACTACTGTTCATGGCACGTGAGTCAGTGATTATCCCGGTACAAGTGAGCTCTGGTCTCAGTTCTTCCATCTTATTAAAAGAGTGTGTGTGCAGTTTATATTTGTGCTTAAAAGAACACTTCTAATTTTCTGGGTGATTTTGCTTGTCATGCTTAAACAATTGTAGTTGTTGTTTTTTCTGAAGGGGTGTAGACTAGATCAAGATAATAAAGGAAACTATTCTGTTTAGGAGAACTGCCTTTAGACTCCTTTGAAGATTGTCTTATGGTCATCCCATATTGTAGAAAGTAAAGTTTCAGTGATGTGTACATAAACCTTCCTCTGATTTGTTAAATCAAAGAAATAAATATCAGTGGGCAGTGTAAAAGCTCATTTAGGGTAGTAGTATAATTGCTTGCTATAAAAGGGGATATCTGGAACAGTAAATCCACTATAAAGAGCCTAATGTTAATTGTTCTGTAATGCATCTGGTTGATTAAGCACTCTTCAGTGCTTTTGTAAATCTGTTTTTCAGTCCCTTCTGAATTTTTAGAATGAATACTGAAGTTCAGACTTCAAAGAATTGTTTCCTGTGTTCCTGAAGGTGGTTTTCTGTTTTTGACTGTGTCTGTACAGATTAAATGTTCTGTATTATCCTATCCCTCGGCAATAGGGAGAAACCATCATCATTTGCCTAGTTTTGATTATAACCATGTCTAGTGGTTTGCTTGCTTATTTGTTTTATGGACAAATCCATAGACTAATGAGCTACCCAGCAGTACAGGTTTCCTTTGATACTTCCTCTGGTATTTTTTATGGGAATTATTTTCATAACAACGTTCCAAGGAGATGAAAAGGAACTACAAGAATGCACTTTGCTTATTAAAGATCAGAGGTGAGCTTTGCTTTCCATCATTTGTCAGTCTTCTGCTGCTTGGGAAGAATCAACCATACATTTTAGT